TAGTTGCATTTACGTGCGTGGTGTCGGACGCACTCATCATATCCAGGACGGAGCATCAAAATGGTGTTTTTTGCAAAATATGCTATGCAAGGAAAAAAAAAACTATTCACGGGCCGACGAGATCATGGCGTTGCTCCCTTATATATTATATCCCGTGACATGTGAAACCACGACAAACGATGCGCGGTCAATTAACTTCTATGGTTTGTACTATTAACTAATAAAGACCGAATTATTAAAAGTAAGTTGACACGAAAATAACTCTGCTGTGATTCTAACAGATCGATGCAGAGCAGATGTTATTAATGAGCATAAACATGAGTATGATTCGATTATGTCAATAAGTTAACTGTTTAAGTGTAGCTGCTGGCACGGGCTTAGCCAGTTTTTTCAACTATATCTCACTATTTTGAATAGTGTAAAAAACAATCTTCTGGAAGTTTATTTTTTATGAAATTTTGAATTTCAAATATTTTTTAGAACTAAACTCTGTAAAGTGGAGAAAAGCTGCCCGAAGGAGCAATTGTAAGCTTAATAGTGTCAATTTTTGACTAAAATTCATATCTGTTTAGGAGCCTCAGCGCTGTGTTATATGCGCTTGTATTTTGACACTGTTTAAGCGCCTTTTTTTCTATAAACTTTTCTCAGTTATGTGTAGCGGTTACATTGATACTGGCCATTGGTTATGTTTTTGCGCCAATGCACTGGTAACGCGTTTGCTTAGTAAACCTAAAGGCACCAGTCAAGGTAATCTAGATTCGAAGAAAGGCTTCAGACATCAAACTTAAAGCATAGCCTTTCTTCAATTACTTGCCTCTAATCTGCCTCGTCCAATATGTATGATCCGCACTTGTTTCCGTATTTCAGAACGCATTGTAATGACGCCCCGCAAACGCGGTGCGGGCCACACTTGCATCGCCGTCGAGCGCGTCCGGGTAGAACGAGTCGATACTTCACAGGCAGTACACGTCGCTGGTGGACAACATCAGGGCATTGTTATCAATAAGGAAAATCAATGTGGCGACTCTAACGAAGCAGGTATACATGCAGGGCCACGTAAGCTGGGAGATTCTGTCCTATCAACAAAGGTGTGGTGAACAGCCACGTAAACGATGAACTAGACTTTTTTTCAAATAACGTGAAAAAGACCAAACGAGAAGCTGGCCTCGTTCCTTTCTCTCGCCCAAAATCCTATTGTCCTTTGCCGTTCGCCGATGACTTTGACACTGAGAAGCTGATATGAAGCTAGCATCTACGATGGGTAGCTAAAGTACTAACTGCTCACTTCGTTCTGTTATGTTTGCAGATAGAATAGAAGAGGTGCCTCAGTTATGGCTTGAGTTTAAGGTGTTCCTTAAAAATGCCGCTGATAATACGCACTCACAGGAGAGTCGAAAACTCAAATTTTGGTTTAAGGTAAGTATTGTTACATAGTATATTAGCTGTAACAAGTAATTTTCGAAATGCCAGAAGAGAGAACAACTCAACAATTAAAATCAATCGGGAAGTTAAAGGCGAGGATTCGGCATCATCGTATTATGGGACAACTTCAATAAACCTTTAAGCCACCGATATTAAACGATCCTGTTCCCACTCAACTACAGCTGGGCTAAAGTTAATCTAGGTGCCACAAATATGTTTATTGGGTCGCTAACTATTTTTCTTTATAAGTGTCTAACATCACACTTTTTGTTTCAAATGATGTGTCGCTTTATAAGCGTAGAATTCAGAACCGGTAGCTCTTTGTTTTTAACTATATGTTTTTAAAATCAATCTATTTTGTGTACCGCCATTTCATCATGCTAATTACACTGTTAGGCGTATAATTGAGTTATTCCATTGTATCCTACTTGTAGCCCAAGGTGGACGAAAGGCTACAGATGCACCTTGCGCAAGATTTCTTCAAGGAACTTGTATCGCCCTGCGAATTTCCCAGAGGTAAGCTATGCGTTAAGTTGGTAACCCCGATCTGGCTTTTATTTTCAGACATTTTATATGTACAGCTAAAAAAAAGGTGGGAGAACTCCATCGGTACTAGAAATTACGAGAGAAAAGTGTTTACTAAAATGTTTCAATCTGTACTCAATACCATTTCAGATTATGTGGGATTCATCAAGAAGGTGATGAAACTTCTGCAGAAACGTTACCCGGACATGAGAAAGGTGGAAGTTGAGCTGAAGCAAATGAAAACCCTTCAGCCAGATCAAAATCCTCATATGGGTATGCTTAGTTTTCCCGTCGGAGTTGAATCGGTTAAAGATATTTTAGAATAAATTATACAATGGATACGTATGTGACCTACGAGTAAAGAACTAAGCGGAGCTTTCATAAATTTTGAGAGTCTTACGTAAATTCACCAACTGTTACATTGCTAAGATCTCTTGGAAGTCATACGGATGATGTGCGGTAACTTTTATATGACGAATATAATAATCGAAAAAATCTACCCAAGCAATTGCTTTACCGTTTTACCGGTATATCCCATAGACTGCTTTCGGAAACGAAAGAACAAACTGGGCAAAAAAATCTCCCTAGAAAAGGTTGCTTCTTTTTCTCCGGCATTTTTCCCACTTCTCACTCTTCTGCTTTGCCACGTACAGCCAATGGGTCGACGAACACTTTGTTGATATCTCTCACCGAGCTTCGGCCGCCTGGCGAACTCCAAGTTCTACCGATCGTTGTCTGCCGGCAAACAAACGGAAACCATGACGCAGGCAGTGAAAATACCGACTTAGCATCTACTGGAAATGAAAGTGACTCCAGGTCGCAGGCAGCAACAGGCGTTCTAGAATCAGGTGTCGAAATAGGGACCTCGTACGCGGAACCCACAGCCAAACGGGTCCCTCTTTGAGTGGTGCACTGATTACGCGGAGTAAAATGGGCATGATGCGTTAATGTTAGCGTGTTCCTACTTGTGTGTGGCACATAACTAGAGAATAGATCGCTTGACCCTCGGCGTCAAAAGATATGATTCATATGCAGTGGACTAACATGTCTTGTATACGAATTTTCCTAACGATTTCGCCATTCCTACGGTTTTAGTCTCGTACCTACGGACCTCTTTGTAATGGAGATCATAGGAAACTTGACGAAAAAGACTGTGTTTGGATGGGCCTTTTGACGTGGCGCTAATGCGCTAATAGTAAAATCTGTCTGTATCGAAGGTTCTCATAGAATTTTTTAACTAAAAATAATAGAAATTGTTTTAATCTTCTGTACCGTATAAACATGCTTTTTTTTTTCTTGAATTGTCACATTAAACATATGTTCGCTCAGTATTTTTTAGCGTAGATACGGATGTATCAAAGCGGTCCTTCGACTTTTTCCAAACAAATTGCTATAGACACTGATAATACGCTAAGCCATTACCGCTACTTCTTTCTTCACTAGTCACTATTAATGGTAGTCATGATTATGAGAGTAGGACTTCACCTCAATCCGGACCAGTTAGAGTCGAACATTTAAATTGTATCACGGCAACGTAGTCCAAGAATCCTCCATGATCACTGAGCTCAGTTTTTTTTCCATATGCATTAAAAAAAAATTAACTGAGCAGTAGAATAGCGTCTGCATATATGTGCCAGTGATGACAAACGACACAACGCACATATATGCGTTTACTGAGACTCAATTAAATGGCTTTCATTGGACATAACATTACTCAGTGTCAACGACAGATATATTAGGGGCTCATTGTTTGTGACGTTAACAATAAATTGTTTGCTGGGGTTTGTTGATAGATCTGGCGCAGAGACAGAGCGTCTGCATGTGTCTTGCTCTGCTGAGAGTATAATTTAGTATAGCAATACCCAACACAGAGCGCGGCCAAGCTTTATGCGACATATCTGTGTCTTGTTAGTGATAGCCAACATTTAGTTGGATTTCGTTTTCAATAGGCCCCCAAAAGCCAGCGTCAAAGGCTAACTGTTTTGTTTATGATACGGCCACAAGGAGGGTGTGGCCTGTAATGGTACAGAACAAAGAGCCTTTTAGTACGATATCGTTATATGCGCGCCTTACTGTGTACTGCCGTACCTACTAATAGCTTAAAAAACTGCAGCAGCGCCAATCTGCGCCACCCTAAAATGTCACCAATATTGGATTTAACCGAATACTCTAATATATGCGTGTACGTGTACGTATATAGTCAGCTGCCGTATATGAAAGAATATCTATTCTCATTGTAGCACTGAAAATTTCAGCGAGCATGGTCGAAGACGGGTGTCTGGTGCGATCTACGGCCGAAGTCACGATTGAACGGATACTCGAACTTATCGAATGCGCTTATCCTAATGCTGTTACTGTTGAAGATATTGCAACGTAAGGACACTGAATTCTCTGTTCTTTGCATTTGATGGTAACCAAATTAGTGTTTCTGTCAGCAGGAATGATGTGCGTGTGTGTGTCTAGCTACTTGAAGAGGCGTGTTCGAGTCTAAATCATTCAAAATTAGTAAGACGTACGGGTCTACATGATTGACGATTGCCCAGTACTTTGTATAAGGTTCTATATATGACAAGTTTAACGTCACTAAGTCAACCTACTTCATTTGCGTACGCCTGGCCTATCTTGTAGAAGACTAGCTAGAGATTGTATATATTTTGCTCGCTTGTATTGTTCAGAGCATCTCTGTCATCGGAAGATACGGTTCGTGCATTTATTTCGGAACTGGAAGAGCGCGGTGTGGTCCGAACCTCAGAAGATGGAACTGCCTTCACGAGAGTCACCAGAGATGAACATAAGGTATGCACGATAGATAATGTCGTAAGTCGTTGAACTTGCCTTTTCCCAACCTAGTGAGATAGAGGACAATGAGATCATTCTATTAAAACTTATCTAATTTATCACAAACATCTGTAATGTGCGTCAACACAACAAGGCGCCATCAGTCGGCGGCAGTTTAGGTCCTACGTTTTAATTCTAAGGCTCGACGTTTCGGAGAGATAATACAAGAGCTTAGCGAAATACGCATTTATTAATAATCAATACAATGCACCAGTCCAATTTAATTCGATTGATTCGTTGGGTGATTGGTTGATCTGCTAGGTGAAACGCGTGCGACAGATGCCCCCGGTAACCCGACAGCAACAGCCGACCATTGCCATAATTACAGCACAATTCTGTGAGAAAGTCGCCGTGGATGCCATGATCGACGATAAGAACACCTTTGTCCGGTACAAAACTGAGGGTAATATTGTTTTGTATTGTCTCTGTATATAATTTGGTCGTATTTGTTGTATGTGTTTACCTAATAACAACTTGAACAACGGCGCAGTGCTACTCGTCAGGAGAAAAATCGTATTTCAGAGTTGCCTATCCAGCTCGAATGTATGGCAGTTTCGCGTACGGGATCATAATAAGCAAGGAAACATTTGTTTTACCATGCTTCCAATAGGTACTGTAATTGCGCGTCGCAGTCAGCCATTGAGTAGGTAAAGCAATATTATATACAATGATGAAATAAGTAGGCAATAAAGTTCTACGAAAATCAATTACAGGGCCATCAATGAATAAGATCAGTTCATATTTTCATTTGCTGTTGTTTCTTGTTGTCAACTTTCTTCTTGTCACTAGGCGAATCCAACGTGTACACGCTGGGTAACATTGGACGGCATCGTGTCGTTGCCACAAAACTTCCCGCCATCGGACATCAGCGGGGCGCAATGATCGCCGCAGGAAACACCACAACGAGATTACTCGGTTGTCCTTTTTTCCTCGCCTTACTCGTCATTCTGAAAATGCGCCTTCACTGCTTAATCCTATAACTGAGTCACAATTATTTTAAACACGGCCAGGTTATCAAAGTTAAGTTGATGTAGACACAATTTCCAGAGTTGCTAAGGGTACTAGTTCGAGACGAAGTTCGAATAGTCGTTTGATAGAATTTGGCCATACTCGTAATGGAAAATGTGCTATACAAAACGCTTCTAGGCTCACGTTGAACACGTGTTATTGATTACATTACAGGTACATTCCAGAATGTTGACTATGTAATTCTGGTGGGTTGTGGAGGTGGTGTTCCTCATTACACAGACTATTCGAAACATGTGCGGCTTGGAGATGTCGTTGTCTCGGATCGACCTAAAAATATCGAACCGAATAATTACATTTATATGTTCGCTGAGAAGTGAGTTCGTTATCTGTAAGCACGCACACACACAGAGGACACGCACACGAGGTTATCAAAGACAGATCTTATCTGATTTATGTTAGGGGGAGGATTTTGAGAGGCTTGTCTGTTTTCGTACATTAGGGGAATAATTCACTTTGAAAACTCGACGACGGCGGCCAATCAACTTGATAATTAATTTTTACCGCAAACTAAGCGGGAGCAAAGTAAGATCGAATCTGTTACGTTGTTCGGAGCTAGCTAGCAAATCGATAAACTTCAATATTTGTTAAGCAGATGAAATATAACAGATATTCTGGCCTTTGGCCACCTACGAGTACCAGTCGACTGAGTGTCATCAGAGAACGACTAGCTTAAAGAAAAAGATGTCGTTTGTGATTAAACTTCCGTTTCTGAAGCCGGTGCTATGTATCGAAAACTCATTAAAGCAGTAGACAAAGAGCTAGGTACGCTTATTTTCAACTCACACAAATTTAGTCATTGGGCCTTAATTTCGGCCAAAGGTTCGGTGTAAATATTTCCCAGCTTCATTCTACTGGTAATGCATAATTCAAGCATGGTCTAAAATTCCAAATCCGTTAAATAGCTCGGAATCGTACAACATATTAAGTTTACTGTCTTTCTAATAGTATAACGTCACAATTAAATGTGTATGTTTCTTACTAAAAACGTCCCTAAACATTGACGCGTGACGGCAACGACCTCGACCTCCGTCTCCTGCTAATATTAACTTATCTTTGGTGCGACTGAATTATTTGACAGGATTCAAAGTTCTCCGACCGACGATCGATCTCCGTCCCCGTCAGAGTCGTTCAACCTAAAAACATGGTTACCTCCTGAGGATAAGCTACAGGTATGCACATGATACCACCATACTTTATAGGTAATTGCATAAAGAGAGCCAAAAAGAACCTAAGTATATTGCCTGTGTTTCTATTAATTTGATGACAATCTATTCTTATCAGTGGTTTTGGTATAATGCAATAAGCGAATGTAATTCTGCTAGGATGCTTAAGGGTGTTTAAAAAAAAGACCCGAGAAGTGATTGGATCTTCTTTAAATGAACTACAAGGTGCGAAAACGATTGGCTAAGACCTAACTTATACATCACCAATCGGGACATACATGAAGATGATACCAACCACCTGTTGGTGTTGCTATTGATTTCTATCGTTATTCAGGTTGCCGCAAGACAGGTTTTGGAAAGCGGATCTTCATTATGGGAAGAGTACATAACCGAAGCTCAGGAACAGCTAAGGGACAACGCAGATTCCGCCGATGGCGACTCGAAAGATTTTGATAGGCCCGCAGACGAAACGGATAAACTCTACATGAGTATTGGAGGTGATCTATCTAGTAATGAAGGATAATCAAAACGTTTCTAACCGAAAGTCATGTCCGTTTATTTCGGCAAAATTTATCAACATGAAGTGAACTAAGAATCTAAAAGGATTTTTTGTCCATCTAGATGACTGACGGAACAGTGTGACGCGCGAAACTGTTGTCTTCGTTCAGATACGTTTGAGTTCGAAATAAAAGGCGTTAAACAAATATATAATAAACAAGACGTAAACATTTCCAGGTAACGATGTCATTGAAGTGGGTCATCCATGTCCTCCAGAGGGAACTCCGAATGCCCGGGTAGACGGTCACCCAGTTGTTCACTTTGGCGCCGTAGCCTCTGGAGAAGTGATTGCAGCCGATGACGCCCAAAGACAAGAGTTTGCAGCTCAATACGGAATTTTCGCCTTTGATAGCGAATTTGATAGCGTCGTTGAATCGGTACGTTGGTTAACCGGCAACACTGATGCTACTTAATAATCATAAGACCCCAATATATTTGGAGACCTGGAAACTTTATTCCTAACAAATTTTGTAGTATGTATACTTACGCTTTCCCTAATGTTCGTTCTTGTCGTAACAGGTGTACGGTAACCGTAAAGACAACTACATGGTGATTCGCGGAATTGCGGACTATCGAGACGGAACGAAACGTCGTGACTGGCAGAACTACGCAGCACTTACAGCGGCTGCTTTTATGAAAGCTGTCGTTGAAAACCTACCACCAGCTGAAGGCCAATAAATTTCATCCATTTGTCATGAGAAACGAATCGAACATATGAAAAGCAGTCACCAGACGACATTATTGGCTTACGGAACTATTTCAGGACGGACTTGACGTTACGGAAACACGAGATGCAATTCCACCCGCATTGGTCTCAGAAGTTCAAAACTACAGCGGATTTTGCAGGTTAAAGGGATGTAAAATAGGGCAAAGTAGTACGTTTATTAGGGAGTCGCCTACTTGTCTTTTTTTAATAGTGCCATCAAGCAGCTTGAAACGGGCCCCAAGTTCTTGCCTCGTAGACAGGTGAAGTCCTAGGCTTAAAATTGTTCAGTCTTTAGGATCTGACCCCTTTCTTCATGAGGAGAAAGGACATAGCTCTTTTATGGTTTCAGTGGGTATCGGAAGCGTTACCGGACATTGCTGCTTCACATGAGGAGAGAAAGCTACATCGCAAACTGACAATATTACATCCGGTGAAAATTGCCTCATGTTTTAAACGAGGTCGCCGTGCATCGGCGGTGTTGACCTGTTCTTAGTGATTCTAATGTCTTTGTCACAATATAGCGCTTGCAGGCACCTGAACCTTATTCATTGGATTAGTCAACAGTCTAAAATAACTATGGCTACCAAGTCAGATGATTTAACAGTTAGGTGAAGTGCGGAATAAGTTTACGTTCACGCACCTATATATATATATATATATAAACAATATCGCGCCATGCATTTGGGGGTCGACCTTCGTTTTGTTTTAGAAACTAGCAAACAACTTAAACATGCACATGAAAAGACTTAACGACGCGAACAGATGAAACTCAAAGGGGTCTGATCGCGATGGGTGGGGTATTAGTATAGATCGGATAAGTATTTCGAATATTCATAAGTAAAACGATAATAGATGACATAAATCTAACAATTGGATCACAGACTGAAAACATGGTGTTCTTCAAGAGTGGCACTGATAATTTGTTAATATAAATGAGAGCAAAAATACTTTGTACCCATGATAATGCAAAAGGAGACAGGCGTATTATTTGCGTTGGGTTTTCTTCGCAGCGCATTCGATTCTGCCCCTAATAGAATACGAAGGTATCCATCGTTGCCACAAATGTGAATGCAATATACAACAAAAACTAGAGCTGTTTCTTTTTTTTTTTGTTTTTCTTTATCATCATACTAAAGCATAGATGAAAGTCAACGAAAATAGTAATCGAAAAAATTTAAGCCTTGCATCGGAACACATATGGATGAACGAAAGGCTGGTACACGAGGTGCGTACGTTTGTTGAAAACAAATGTTATGCGTCTTTGAACAGGTCATGAGTGTAAACTGCCATAGTTTACTACGTAATTGCGAAAAGCGTATTATCTAGATGTGCTTCCATGATACACGAGCAATTGTGAAACGATGAGAATGCGAGTTAGACTAAAAGCGTACGGTACTGATATGAATAAACATGCGAACTTTATGGCAATTTAATGAACGTCAACCTGCATTTATTTTCTACGGAAATCCTGATAAAACAGATACAGCCTCTAACGGACAGGTAGAACGTAACAGTGAAATCGCCACGGATGCTTGTAGTACCGTTAGCCAAATCTAGGAAAACAAAAACCTAACAGCGTACACACTACGTGTTAGAATGGAGAATAGATAACCTGCGTTGACTTTTACTACGGCTAAGCGTGTATTCTTGAAACTCAATTATATCTACTGAGTAAGTGTTCGTGCTTAATGAATTACAAATTATTTAGATGCTTCGTCGTGGATACGTGAATACATTCGTAAATGTTCCGAATTCTACATCCAGTGCGGCCGATAGGCATTTCGTCTCACTGTGCATTTACAGGATCATTTACGTTGCTGACAATTTTTTTCATTAAGGATCATTTCATCACGTTCAAATCTACCGCTGCGAACACAGCGCCACTTCGAAACAACGGAGCGGGTTATCTTGCCTTGCTAGCAGCGTATTCACTGTTGAAAATGCTGCTATGAGATTCTGTTTCTCGTCACGGATGACGCTTCTAGGTAGTGTCCCGCACTCGAACTTGCTAAACTCGTTCGTATGCGCAAAACATCTTGTAATTGCCTACGTGTACGGCGCTGATAGAGTTTGCCTCACAATGTGCTTTCTCGTACGTTGGTCGAACTTTGTTACGTCCTAAAAAGTAGGTGACCTCGCGCTGCTCGAACTCCCTTCTAGATTAAATAGTATCGTCGGAGTGCCGCGACAGCCTTGTCGGCTAGAGACAAAGAGGATGAGATAATAAAAGCGATAATTGACATTTAGCCTCGTTGTAGCTGTCAGTACAAATCCAATCTGCGAAGGGTATTTGGAGAAATCGCCAGTTAGGAGTGGAAGAGGAACAACAACGCCAAGCGGCAAAATGCTTATACATGCAAACGATGCACCTATTATAAAATAGACACACTAGACAGCTTCTATTGCCGGCCGCTCTTGGCCAACCAGTGACTTTCGATGCTACACTTCGTTGCCCTTTCTGTATTAAGCTCGGCCTATACAAAGTGCTATCCCGATGTATGTATAGAAAAATT